ATAAAAAAAGGAAAAATAAAAGAAAAAAAAAGTAAGGAAAAAAGAGAAAAAAGAGAAGTAAAGAAATAATGAAAAAAAGGATAGAGGGAGAAAATAGGAGAAAAAAAAAAGAGAGGAAAATAAAAAGAAGTAGAAGAAAGAAAAAGGAAAAGAAAAGAGGAAGAAAAAAGGGAGAGAAAAAAAAGAGGGGCGGGGGCGGGGGCGCTCGCGTTCTTCAGGCGTCGAGGCTGAACGCCGACATCATGCCGGACGAGGCGTCGTGGAGCGCGGCCTCGGCGCGCCAGCTGTTGAGTAGCGACTGCGCGTAGAGGACGTGCGCCAACGCCGCGCGGGCGACGCAGCCGAGGTCGTGCTTGAGCGAGAGCCAGCCCTCGCCCGGCCAGGACCCGCCCGCCTGCACCACCTCGTCGGGCTCGCCGCCGCCGGAGAGGAGCGTGGAGTGGACGGCCACGTAGGCCACGATGACGAGGCACGTGGCGAGGGTGACCATGTCGGTGCTCGACTCCGCCAACGGCGTCGCTTTGATCGGCGGCGGCGCAGCCTTTGGCGTGCGCACCGGCGACGCAAAGGTGGACGGCGGCTCTCGGAAGGGCGTGTCCAGCTCGAAGAACTGGACCACCGCCTCGTGGCCGCCCTGCGTCTTGAGCACGGCGGTCGCCCACTCGGCCAGCCCGCCCGCCCGCTCGACCAGCGACGGCACGTGCCGGCCAGGCGGCGGGAACTTGGGCGGGAGGCCGCGGTGCGAGCTGAGCGTGTCGGCGAGGCGGTGGAACTCGCTGTACCGCCTGCGTTTGGGCGGGTGAAGGAGGCGGGTGGAATAGGCGGGTCTGGAGGAGGCGGGTGTGGAGGAGGCGGGTCTGTCTGGAGGAGGCGCGTGGACGAGGTTTGATCGTGGAGGAGGGCTGGTGAGGTGTGGAGGAGACGGGGAGAGGCGAGGCGTGGTGGAACTAGGAGGCGGACCGCCGGACGGCCCAGATCTGGTTGGGCGTTGAGACGGACACCGAGAAGAAGATGGGCGGCTCGGAGAGGACCGGCGCTACGGTGACGGCGACCGACAGCGAGAGCACCTGGGCGCGGGGCGTGAGACACGTTCAAAGGAGCCGCCAGCGTGAGACTGCGTTCAAAGGCGCTGCAGGCTACACTGACTAGGAGGCAGTGCAGCGCGGCGGGTGTGTGGGGTGGGTGTGCGAGAGGGCGGCGAGGGCGGCGTGGGAAGGCGGCACCTCGATGTCCGAGCGCTCCGATTCCAGGCTGGCTGTGGTTGTGGACGCGAAGCTTCTCGGCGAGATGGCGTCGCCGCTTTGCGGACCGTCCTTGCTTAGGCCGCTCTTGGAGAGAGAGCCGCTCGTGGCGAGCGCACGATGCGGCGTCGGCATGTACAACACCTGGTTCTGCGAGCCTAGCGGCACCGACGAGAAGAGCTCGGGCTTCGGAGTGGACGGCATTCAACTCAACAAACGCTGAAGAAAAGAATTCTAAACCGCAGGCCTCTCTCACAGCACACTGGCACGACAAGGGCGCGGACTGGCGCGGACTGGCACACAAGAAAAGAATTTCACGCGCGCATCTCTCTTCGTCTCTCGCCGGTGCTCGAGCTGCTCGAGAGCCTGCCGCGAGGGACAGTCGAGGCCTCCATCCGGCTCATGCGGGGTTACGCCCGCACGGGCGAGTGGCCAGAGCCCATCTTACCTAGCCCTGCCCCGGAGCGCGGCCGATCGCCTACTGAGTAGAAGCCCCTCTGATGAGTGGTCAGATGATTAGTGCCCGAGAGCGAGGGATACGGAGGGGAGCACAAATAGGACGCCCAGCCTTGCCCTCGTGCCGCCGAGTGTGTATCCTATGCGAGAGAGATCCCCTGTGCCCTGTGCCCAGCCCTCTCCACGCCGCGATGCACCCTCGCCCCTCGCTTTTGCAAAATCCTGCAAAGGTGGGGACGTGTTCGACCCAGCCCTAGCTTGGGATGCCCGTTTTATTTATTTTATTAGCACCAACACAGGCAAACCACCGGAAGCAAAAGAATTCGCGGCAGTGCTGTGTTGATTTTTGCAGCCTCTGCAGCCACAGGAAAAAGAACTACGAGCGAGCCTTCAACCGCAATGTGCCGATTCGGAGCCGGCGGCAACGGCCGAAAACTGATGTCGCCAAACTCGGCCCACTTCGGTTCCCAGTGCTCCCTACCTGCCCCCTGAGCATCAGGGAGGCACCCGCCGCCTTCCTAAAACGAGGTGGTGGTGCTGCTGTTCAGGGGGCGAGGACAAGAGATGCAAAGACAGCACCGCACAACACACGCACACGCACACGCAGACACACACACACACACACACACACACACAGTCACACACACACACACACACACACACACACACACACACACACACACACACACACACACACACACACACACACACACACACACACACACACACACACACACACACACACACACACACACACACACACACACACACACACACACACACACACACACACACACACCTCACGCCTCACACGCTATACGGCCGCTGGCTCAAGGTCAATGGATTTTGACACGCGTGAGACGAAGCTCGCTCTCCGCAGACGGGGACGTGGCATTGCAAAGACGACGCAAGGCCGCCTCGGCTTCCACCCGAAGACATACATCACTTTGGCACAGCTGCGACCCCGCCAAGAAGACGGTTGCACTCGGCAGGTGGCGCGGAGTGCAACCGTCCACTCGGCGAGGTCGCAGCTGCCTCTGCGCGTCCTGGGGAGGTACAAAATTGTCGCCGCCGGAGACGACTCGACGCCGCTGAGATCAGAGATCAAGCTCTGACAGGTCGCACGTCGCTCCTTTGACGCCGACGTGACTCAGCCGTGCAGAGCGCATCAGTACACGGTCTCGACGCGATCGGTACGACGCCTGTGACCCGTCTCGGGTCAGGTGGCACGACGCTCATCGCGCCTGCCAGCGCTGCCGTGCAGGCTGCCACGACAAAAGGTCGGGCAAGCACGCTTCTAAACGCTCGCCCAGCCTTCCTTTCCATCCCATTAGGCAGCCTGGGAACGGTGGCGGTCAGAGGCAAAGCCTACGAGGGGTGGTGGAACCACATGTCAGGGCTACTGCCGGCTCGACCCCACGATAGCCTCCGAAGGCTGACTTTGCGGCACCATCATCGGACGATGTCGACGAGTTGGGTCGCTCTCGCGGTAGCCAGATGACCTCTCTTGAGCTTTGTGACCTCCTCGTTCGTGCAGTCGCCCATCGCCGCCCATCGAAGATCAGGTTGATCAACGGCGCATTCGACACTCTTCACGCCGTATATGTGACGCGACCGGGACCAAAAGAGGCGCCGCCGCTGAAGGACATATCGCCGCGCAGGTCCGCAGTGTCCATGTTGAGAGGGATGACGCCGTCGTGAAGCGGATTGACGTGATAGACGGTGAGGTGTGCTCCGGCGACGAGCACATGTACATGTTGTTGTAGCAGGAAGGACATATACACCATGTGCACACGCACATGCATGTGTGTATCGAGGCGTCGCGTCTAAAAAAAATTATACTTCCCAGTGCATATTCGTGTGTCTGAGAGAGAGAGAGATTTAGTTCCAGGCCCCAAATGACGTGTGAGTGTTAGAGCTGTGTGTCTGTGTGTCGCTCGTGCGTGTCGTCATCATCTGTCCAGCGTCCACCCATACCGCGTTGGTGTCCAGTCCGAGCCTGGCTGTTCTTCACCTTCCTACATACATACATACATGTTAGTCACACATGCATGCACAGACACACAGCCCCTTCCCCTCCCCCCTCAAGACCTTCCCAAAAGGGCGAGGACACGCGCAGGCCGCACCTCTAGTGAGGCCCGCATCTAGATGACCGCACTCCAAGTGCTCCAAGTGCTCCGCCGGTGTCCAGTCCGAGCCTGGCTGTTCTTCACCTCAGATACATATATACAATCACCACGTCGCGCGAGTCCTCACTCAGAACTACAGCAGCAATTGAGGTGCGGCGTGTAACTGTTCTCGGGCGGCGCCATGCCGATGCGCGATGGAGGGAGTCGGAGGTTTGCTATCGGCGGGCCGTGAGGGCGCTGTCCGTTGAGAACTCAAGGCTGAGTTTTTTGCTCCACTTGAGACTTTCGATGTGGCAAATGCCAAATCTAACTGAAGAGAGTAAAGTTCTCCGCAGACAACAACAAAAGTGCGCATTTGTCATTTGAAGTTGAAATTGAAGGATCAAGAAATAATCATTAATCTTGATTCTTCTTTCTTGGTGTATCTACGGCTTTGAGCGGAGCGGACGTCGTTTATTAGCTGCGGTGCCGCAGGCACCTCGGGGGTCAGGGGCTGCGCAGATTAATTCAAAAAGTTGATCAAGAACAAGATGGGTGAGGGTGTGTTCAGGGTCGGTCACACAGGGAAAAACAATTACAGGGCAAGCGCGCGAGAGGCGAGGGCGGAGGGCGAGGCCGAGGGGACCCCAGCCGAATTTGAGTGACACTCCGATGAGCGTTTCTTCAATACGCAAACGTCGTGTACTGATAGTTATCGGCCCTACCGCCCACAGCGAGGACCTGCAGCAGCGCCCGGCGCAGCGCCGGCCACGGCAGCCGCAAGTCCATGTTGTAGCCAACCTTGCCCTCGCCGGCCACCGCCATGCTCCTGTTCTTTGTTCTCAGCTGGTAGTGCAGCACGGCGGGAGGGCCTCCGCCCTCGGAGGAGAGGAGCTCCTTGTACATCTGGCACGGGCAGCCCGCCCGGTGGACGGGCATAACCTCGAGCACGCTGGACCCGCGGTGCAGTGCAAAAGCGTTCACCATGTCGGCGCCGTGGGGGGTGACCATCACGTCGGAGTCCGCGATCACGGGCAGCGACGCCACTAGCCCGACTCCAAAGTTGTGCGACACGCAGCGCACGCGCACTGCCGCGTGCGGCGACGGCGGCCGCCAGCCGTCGCACTCCGCCACCAGCGCCTCCAGGTCTAGCAGCCGGCGACGGCCTGTCCGGTTGGCGAGGACGACGCGCAGAAGGCCTGGCGGTCCGAGTCGGCCACCGGCGCCGGCCGAGCCGGGGGTGGCGGAGGCGGCGGAGGAGGATTGACGGGGGGAGGCTGTAGATGCGGCTGGGCGGGCGGCGTGGAAGGCTACCACCGCCTGCATGGCGGCCCACGGCCGCGCGTGGCGAGGGGAGGGGATGTTCGAGTAGTCGCAGACCGTGGCTCGAAGGAAGCAGCGCGGCCGCGTGCGGGCGGCGAACATGGCGGCCGACGCCTCGCGGTATCGCGCCACGGAGCGCTCCATGGCGAGTGCTCGCCACATCGGCTTCACGTCTGGCCTGTCTGGTGTGAGGGCCATCGGCTCGACGGCGTGGGCCGTGAACGGGTGAAGCCAGAAGCGCGCGTAGTCGGGTCCCCAGTTAGAGCCCCACATCGCCGGGATGAGATGGACGTCGCGACTCGGCAAGTCGCGGCACCAGAGCTCGAAAAGCTGCACTACGGCGCGCGAGAAGATCTCGGTGAACGAATTGGACCACGTCGTGTAGAAGGCGATGGCAGGCGCGGGCGAGAAGCCCTCCGCCGGCGCCGGACCGATGATATGGCGGGAGAGGAAGTGCCTGAGGGGTCAAGCTTAGCTGCGTGCGTGCGTGCGTGTGTGTGTGTGCGTGCGTGTGTGTGCGTGCGTGCGTGTGTGTGTGCGTGTGTGTGTGTGTGTGTGTGTGTGTGTGTGTGCGTGCGTGCTGGGAGTTGTGTCGTGCCTCCTCTTGCGAAGGGACCGCTTGACTCCGATGGCCAGGGGGAGGTACTCGAAGGCGTCGCCCGGCCGCGCGAGTAGGACGGTCGGGCGGTGCGCCGGGTGCAGGCGCGAGAATGCGTCCGAAGGGTCGCGCGTCCGGTTGAGGAGGCCGTTCAGCCGGTCGAATGCCGTGCCATCCACGCCGTGCAGAATGATCTGCTCCGCCTCAAAGCAGACGTTACTCACGGAGACGCACTTCTGCGGCGAGCGAACCGCACCGGCGCAGTGAGGACTTGAGTTTCCGGCCAGCATTCTCTGCATTCTGCAGCCGCCATTCGAAAAGAATTTTACAAACTCACTCGCACGACACTAGAATTTTACAACTAAACTCCCTCGCACGCCATTCGAAAAGAATTTGAGAACGCGGCGGTCGCACAGCACGATTCGCGCGACAGGCAAGGCGGGCGACGGCTTCCTCAGAAGCCGTCGCCCCCACCACAGGAGCAGTCACACGACTCCCCTCCGGCGCCCACCCCACCCCACCCCGACATCCCCACCCCACAACCCCCCCACCCCGACCCGACCCTGATTCGCCTAAGATGCCGACCACGAAAAGAGTGCCTCCTCACATACAAAAGCACAACCCCGGCCCGAGAACGTACAGAGACAGTCACGCACCTCCTTCTCACACAACACTGGGCACGACACTAACACCGTGGAGGTACCGGCAACGGTGCTAGAACCAAGACCACCTCTCTTGGTGAAATGCTCTGAGTGGGAGTCAGAAGAGAGAGAATTCAAGAGAGAGAGAGAGAGAGAGAGAGAGAGAGAGAGAGAGAGAGAGAGAGAGAGAGAGAGAGAGAGAGAGAGAGAGAGAGAGAGAGAGAGAGTTAGCAACACAAAATAACTCTAGCACTCGCACATCATTTGGGGCCTTCTCTATACCTAGCACTCACACATCAACATATATGGTTAGATGGGGCCTGGAGCCCTGTTCACGCCGCGCGCGAGACGCAGACAGCGACAAACTCGAGGGGCCAAATTACGCTGTGAGGAGAGATGAGTTACCCCGAAAGGCGAGGGTAGCCGCGCTAGAGCAAGAGGGCGCGTGGTCAAATCGTTCGGTTCCGGCCGGGGGTAACCACGCGATCCTCGGAAAGGTGCGGCGAATGTGGTCCTGAACAAACTAGAGAGCACAAACCCACTCGCAGCATGATGATTTACTGCACACTCTTTTGAAACATGTGGCGGGGCGGCCGCCCCGCCGTCATGCCAACACCCAACACGCAACAGGAGAGTGAGGTGCTCCGGGTGTTGGAGATGCGAGGGTCGCCCCCCCCCCCTTGCCCCACCACTTTGTGTGTGTGGAGAAATTTACCCGTTACCTTAGCTTAACCAGGTGTGAGGAAAGCAGAGATCGTAAGTAACAATCCTAACGTAAGTTTCTCCAGGACCCCAGAAAGACTTAGAGATATACCATCCCGCGGCGGGCGTTACGCGTGTCGAGCGAGAGGCACTTGGCAGCGGGCTGCTCGGCTCAGCTGACAGCAAAACAGTATCGAGGCGGGGCCACAACTCAGGTGGGTTGTTTGTTGTAACTAAGTACGACCGAGGTGGTTCGCCGGCTCCATTCGCACAGCCATGCCCCACGCGGCGCGTAGGGCGAGGATGAGGCGCTGAAGAGTGTACTAGTGTTTGATGTTGTGGCCCTGCTGCGGAACGTTGACAGCAGCGTCGCCAAACTCGTCGAGTCGTCGTGGTACTTCTTGTTAGTTGTTTTGAGTCTTCTTACCCACCGACACGGCCTGGCAAGCCACGTCGAGGGGGAGACCCAGGCGGCGCTGCACCGAGATCCGCATCGCCCAAGTCTCCATTCGCATGTCATCCCGCATGGGGATGGCGTTGAGGAAGGCGCCGGCGCCGTCTTGGCTCACCGCCACGAAGCGGACCGCCTCCCGCCAAGCCGCATGCTTCGCCCGCTCCCTGCCCTTGGCCTGCGCCTTGCCCTTCTTGCCGCGAGGAGCAGACCGCGATCCCGCGGATCCCTCCTTGGCGAGCTCCACGGCGAGGTCGCGCCAGTTCCTGTTGTGGACCACCGTCGTGAAGCGCCGCTGCGCCTGGTGTAGGAACTCGTTCTTGGACGTGAACTCGGCGAGGGGCAGCAGCTCTTGTCCGGGACGAGAGTATGCGGCCGGAAGCGCGAGAGCGCCACCCTCGTAGCCGGCTCCGGCGGCCGCGCGGAGGCGCGCAGCTTCTCGCCCTCGTCGGGCTCGTCCCACGGCTCCACCTCGACGTCCGGGGGCCTGCCTGTCATACCGTCAACCAGGTCAAAGTACTCCGCTTTCGTCTTGGCTTCCCACTCCCCCCACGAAGCCGACCCGTGATCTTGCCGTGCTCCTCCAGTCCTCCTTGAGCTTCCTTGGCGTGCGCCTAAGGTAAGGTAAGGTAAACGTCTCCACACACACAAAGTGGTGGGGCAAGGGGGGGCGACCCTCGCATCTCACGCCTCCCGCAGCTCGTCGAAGTCGGAACCCTGCGCCTCGCTATCGAGAAAAGAATTCAAAAAATCACTCTCTCTCTCTCACACAGAGAAAAATTACCGCGAAAAAGAAAAAAGGCAAAGGGGCGTCCGGCCATGTGGTGCGCTGGTGGCCAGAGAACCGCCAGGGGAAAAAGAAAATCTCGGCCTCTCAGCCGGCGCCGCTCTCGCTGCCGCGCCTCAAAGACGACACGGCGGAACAAAAAGCGAATTTGGGAGGCTGACGGAGCAGCTGAAGCGACCAGAGTGTTCGGCGTTGGTGTGCAGCAAGTCGACCCGACATTGCTTCAGCCTTCACTTCATGCCGCCACATAAGTCATATAACCAGTACCACCCCAACGCCGACAGACAGAAGCCAAAAGAAACACAGACAATTCCAATGTTCCGAGAGCTGCGCGTACAGTGTAGTGCCAGCTAGTGCGTGTCGCGACGGGGCCTCACCGTCCGCCCACACCGCACACGGCACTGGGCATTCACCTAGCCAAAGATGTTGACCAGCAAATTGTCGACCTGCTGGATCAGCGGGCCGCTCGGCTCAAGGCCGAGGGCGGCGTGCGCGTCGGCCACCACTTTCATGATCCCGCCGCCGCCCGTGGGCAGGGTGAGAGCCTCCCGGATTCGCTTCACCTTGCTGGGGAGCGACTCGACCGCCGCAGCCGGAGGCGCGGCGGCGGCGGGCGCAGCGGCGGCGGCGGCTGCCGCCTCTTCCTGTGCCCGCATCGCTGCCGCCATTTCCTGCGCCCGGGTCACCGCCGCCGCCGTCTCTGCCGCCTCTTGTGCAGCCGCCGCCGCAGCCGCCGCCTCCCGGCTCGCCTCCTCCGCCGCCGCCGCCGCCTCGGACTCGCGCGCCTCAGCCTCCCGCGCGACTGCCACCGCCCGCGCCACCGCCGCTCGCGCGGCCGCCGCCGCCGCTCGCGCCTCCGCCTCCAACGCCTTTGCCGCCTCCTCCCGCGCCGCGGCCGCCCGCGCAGCTCGCGCCGCCTCACGCGCCACCTCCGCCTGGCGCGAGGCGCCGTACGCCGGCTCGCCAGAGTCGCCTCCGTCGGAGGGGGCCGCCGGGGACGGCGCGGGGAGCGCCGATCCCGCAGCCGGAGCCCACAGCGGCGGCGGCGGCGGCGGCGGCGGCGGCGGCGGCGGTGGCGGTGGCGGTGGTGGCGGAGATGGCTCCGCCTCGTGTGCCCGCCGCGTGGCTGGGGGCGGCGCGCTGAGGTCGCCGCTGAGACGGAGCATCTCCGACGCCGCCGCGTCCATGTCGCCGCCGCTGGCGTCGAGGGCTGCGAGGCACTCGAGCCGCGGCGCGTGTGTCGCCCTGTGGAGCGCCTCGACCTGCTGGCGCAGCCGCGGCCGCAGCGCGAGCAGGCTCCGCCGCGCCTCGGGCTCCGAGGCGGAGGAGCGCAGGTCCTCGACGCGCGTGGCGATCCACGCCGCGCACTCGTCCGCCTGGTGGTCGGTCGCCGCCGAGAGGAGGATCTTCTGGCTCTCTTCGCCAGACCGGCCGGGGACGGCGTCGCCCACCTGGACCAGCGCCCCGCTGTCCTCGGTCATCTTGTTGACCGCCTCGCCCTTCTTGCCAATCAGCCCGCCCACCAGCCCCACAGGGACGCTCACGCTGCGCTCGACGCGCCTTGCCCTCGCCGCCGACGGAGAGGGCTCCGCCGACGCGGGCGCTCGCGGCGGCTCGAGGTCGTACTTGGCGACTCGGCGCTCGATGTTGCCCCGGACGTGCTTCAGCGAGCAAAGCCCGCCGGTCCTGTCTTGGTACCTGCAGACGCCCGTGTAGAAGTAGTCGGCGCAGAGGCCCTTCCGATCGAGCTCGGCCTGGCTTGGCGGCACGACGCCCTTGGCGGCGCGCGCGTCGCAGCAGAGGCGGGAGAGGCAAGCCTTCCGGGAGAAGACCCAGTTGCCGCAGTCGGCGCACTGCCAGTCTCCCTCCTCGAGCGGGTAGATGCCGAGCGGCACGCGCGGCCGCAGGTCGAGGACCGCCTTGCCTGCGGTGCCGTCGGCGGCCGGCGCGAGAGGGAGAAAGGCCACGTACTGCTCCGACGGCACGCTCGACCCGCGCGTCTTGAAGCGCGCCGCGCGGAACGACGCGATCGACTCGTCGATGAAGGACTGGGCGAATCGCGCCACCGCCTCGACCTGCGGCGCCGTGCCGCGCGCGCGCATGAGCGGCGAGCTGTCGCGGGTGGACGCGCCGACGGCGAGCGGCGCGCAAGCGCCCGACATGTGCCCGTCGCGCTTGCGCAGCCGGTCAAAGGAGAGGTCGCGGCAGCCGCTCTCCTGGCGCAGCTTCTCCTCGCGCAGCATCAGCGTGCCGACCTGGCACTCGGTGAGCATGACCTCGAGCGACGTCCAGGGGGAGGCGGGGGAGGAGGCGGAGGCGGAGGAGGCGGAGGAGGGAGGGGCCGCTGCCGTGCCCTGCGCCGCGGGCGAGTCCTCCTCCGCCGCGCGGCGAACGTGGTCGCGCCACTCCGCCTCCTCCATCCGGGCGCCTCCCGCCTGCCAAGCGCTCCGCACGGCCTCGCGCGACTTGGTCACGTACGCCATGCGCACGCTCAGCGGGTCGGACCCGCAGATCACGTGCGGAGACCGCCGGATGGCGGCGGCCTGCGCCTCGGGCGTGGCGAAGGTGACGAACCCGAACCCCTGCTCGAGCCCCGTCCCCTTGTCGAGCGGCACGTACACGTCGAGGAGGGGCCCAAATTGCTTGAAGTAGCCTCGCAGCGCGGGGTACGGCCTCTTGCGGAAGGCCGCATCGGAGGGGAGGTATGCGTTCTTGCCATCCACCGGCGCGGCGCCAACGATGATGCGGTACTCGGCGACGTCTTCGGAGGCGGAGGCGGGCGCGGCGGAGGCGGGCGCGGCGGAGGCGGGTCCCGCGGATGCCGCGGTAGCAGCGGTAGCAGCGGGCGGTGCGGCCTGGTTACTCACGACGACGACCGTGGCCTTGCCGAGTGCTTGGTTGACGTGCTGCAGGCCGAGCTGGGAGGCGGCGGCGTGCACCGCGGCGCGCTCGGCGGGGGTGTAGCTCTGCGGGAAGGTGTGCGAGGCCACGGCGCCCGACGCGATGCGCCGCAGCCGCGCCTGGATGTGCTCCCGCACGTCTGCGTCAACGGGCGCGTGCCTGTGGGCCGAAAAAGAGCCGAGATCGAGCCGAGATGGGGGGGAGCGGGGCTTGAGGGCTCGTGTCGCGGGCCTCCGCCCGGCGCGCTCTTCCCGGCCGCCGCCGCGCGCACCCGCCTCCTCTGGCGCGCCGCCGCTCCCGCGCTCGCCCTGCGCCTTGGCGCCCGCCTCGGTGGCCGAGGGGGCGGCGGCCGGGTCGCAAGCGCGGTCGTCGGTAGGGTCTCCACCAGGACGCTCGGCCACCATGCAGCCCTCGACTGTGGAGGGGGCGTGGGGCGCGGCGGTGGCCGCGACCGCCTCACGCTCCTCCTCCGCCTCCGCCTCGGCTGCCCTTGCCTCCTCCGCCTCCGCCTCGGCTGCCCTTGCCTCCTCCGGCTCCGCCTCGGCTGCCCTTGCCTCCTCCGGCTCCGCCTCGGCTGCCTTTGCCTCTGCCGCCTCCGCCTCGGCTGCCGCCCTCGCCTCTGCCGCCTCTGCCGCCTCTGCCGCCTCTGCCGCCGCCTTCTCCGCCTTCTCCGCCCGGCGAGCGTCGAGCAGCGCCTTGCGCTCCGCCTCGCGCCTTGCCCTCTCCTTCTCCTTCTCCGCCTTCTCCTTCTCCTTGGCGGCGAGCTTGACACGGCGCGCCTCCCGCCGCGCCGCCTGACGAGCTCGAGGGGCGGCACGGTCACCACCACGCTGCATCCTGGCTACATCTCGGCGATCTCTCAAGCCCTCGCACCTCGCCCTGCGCGTCTGACTCCTGCAGCGCGCGCAGCGCCGCCTGCTCCTTTTGGGCGCGCAGCCGCGCCTCCGAAGCTCGCCGCTCCTGCTCCGACTCGGCCGGCTCGGCCCTCTCGGCGTCTTCCTCCTGCTCGTCGCCTGGCTCGCGCGACTCGCGCGGACGCCGCTCTCCGCCCGCCGCCTCGTCGGGAAGGGGGCTGAAGACGCCTCCGCACGCGCACGCGCAGAGCTCCCGCAGCGTGGAGGCGTGCTTCGGACCCCACATCTCGGCGGTGAGCTTCTTGGCCAGCTTGGTGGGCACGCGCCCGTCATGGCCCGTGTCGTACGTGTTGCCCTTCGTCGTGATGAGCCGCAGCCCGCGGCCCTCGAGCCGCTCGTAGCAGGCGGCGTGCAGCACGCCCGCCCCGCACCCGTCGCAGGAGGTGGGGACCGCCTCGCCCTCCGGCACGGGCTGCGTGCAGACCAGGCAGCCCGTTGCGACCGCGCCCTGGGAGGAGCGCGCATCGACGATGGGCCTGAAGAAGCCCGCGCCGCAGCGGCAGCGGCACGACGATCGGTACAGCTCATATTTTGTCGTCCAGAGCTGCTTGATCAGCGCCGCGTCGCCGTGGTCGCTGGCCTGCCGAAGCCCGCGCCGCATCGAGGTGAGGAGCGAGCTCTCAAGCTTCTCGAAGCACGGAGCGTGCAGGGCGAGCGCGGTGTCGCAGGAGGGATTCGTGCACTCGGCCTTGACCCACGCGCCCGTGTCCGTCTTGGAGCCGTCCTGCACGTAGCAGTGCGGGAGGCAGCAGCGGGAGCCGAGCTTGTGGGCGAGCTCGGCCGCCTCGGCGGCCTTCTTCTTTGAGGGCTTGGCCCCGCTCATCAGGACGATGCGGGCGGGGGACGGAGGTCTAATGAGGCGAGGAGCAAGCGACAAACGACTCGCGCCCAACCACAGGGTTCCAACTTTTTCCGGGGTATGGTATGGTGACGTGGGGGGGGTATGGTCCTGACCGCCCAAGGCTAGCCCTCGACAGGGGTGGGGGGGTATGGTACTTTAGCGCGCGGGGACGGCCAGCGCGGCGCCTGCTGGTGCATGACGATCGGCTGGCGACCCGCTACACAGCAAAACTACGAGCATGGTAACGGGGGCTCGTTACGGGCCCGTACACGGCATGCTCGTAGTTTTGCTGTGTGGCGCTCAATAAAGCGTGGTTAGGCGGCTCCGGTGGTGAGCCGGTGTGTGTGCCAGTCCGCGCCAGTCTGCGCCCTTGTCGTGCCAGTGTGCTGTGAGAGAGGCTTGTATTTTAAGAATTCTTTCTTTCTGCACTGGGGGGCGGAGCCGGGAGCGGCTCGCGGGTTAGTCCGGTGGGGGGCGGGGCGGGGCGGGGCGGGGTGGATCGGGTCGGGTCGGGTTGGGGCGGGGTTGCTCGGGTCGGGCTCCTGTGGTGCGGGCGACGGCTTCTGAGGAAGCCGTCGCCCGCGCCTCGCCTGTCGCGTGATCCGAGAGAGAGAGAGATTTTTAGCAATACCAAACAACTCTAACACTCACACGTAATTTGGGGCCTGGAGCCCTGTTCACGCGCGCGCGAGACGTGCAGACAGGGTTGCCAGGTGAGAGCGAATGGCGCGGTTCACGCCTCGCACAACAGAGAGAGAGATGCGCTCTGCATGGTGGGACATAAAAGAGAGCGAGTACTTGGGCGAGTAGGCCGTGCGGTCAACGCTGCCGCGCGCGACTTTGCGCGCGAGGCGGCGCAGCTTGAGAACGGCGGTGGGCGAGAAGCCGCCGCCGAACGTCTCGTGGAGCAGCAGGTTGAAGTTGTTGCGCTTGACAAAGATCGCGTCGTGGTAGAAACCGCGATGCGCCTTGACGTAGCCGTGGCCGGTCTTGTGGGAGAAGGGTTGGCTGGGCTGCCCGCGCGCCTTGCAGCCCATGTTCAGGCGGCGGGCCTTCTCCTCGGTGTTGCCGAAGGCGTAGGAGTGGCCAACGGAGGCGGGCGTGCCGCCACTCGAGGCGTTGCCAACGCCCGGCGAGGAGGTCTTGAGGAGGGGCGTCCAGAGCTTGACTTCATTCACCTCATCGCATCCTCCTGGCCCCGCATGGGGTTCTGCGAGGTCAGTCTTGTACCCCTCATTGTACTGCCGGGTGAGCTCTGGTTTCTCCTTGTCACCGTGCACGACCGGCGCGTTGGCCGGGGCGCGCATCGCGTCCGCCCAGGCGGCGAGGACGCCGTCGTGGGGCCGCCGGTGGTGGGCCTTGTTGTAAAGGTAGTCGCCGAAGAAATCGACTGGCATGCCCCGCTCGAGCGCGACCCGTAGGGTGGGAAGCGCCGCGGAGAGCCAAAGGCCGAGCTTCCGCTGGAGCTCGTCCTGGAGGATGTCGGAGGAGAGGGCGGTGGCGTACGTACCGTCGACACGGACATCGAAGGCCTTGCCGGCGAAAGGCGTTGAGGCGGAGACGAGGCGCGCGGCTTCGCGGTTGTTGACGGCGCTGTCTCCGAGGGACGGGTTGTTCTTGACGTGCACATCCCGCGCCTTGACGAGCTCCTGGTGCGCGAACCAGTCCTTGTGATTCTTGATGGCAGCGAGCGCCCGCGGCCGCGGGTACGTGGATTTGCAAGTGCCATTGAGAATCGCGTCGGTAGCTGGAAGGGACTCGGGCTCGGGGAGCGGGACGCTCTTGGGGTAGAACTCAGTCAGGTAGCCGCCGCGGACGGTGTAGTACTTGTTTTTGTCGCGGGCGGTGCGCTTCTCGCACACCTCCTTCCAGTCCGAGAGGGCGGACTCGTAGGTGGCGATAGCTGCGGCGATGGCGGGGTACTTGGACGCACCTGCCTCGTCGAGGGCGAAGTCGGGGTTGTGGGCGACGAGGGTGCGCCAGTTCTTGAGGAGCGACATGGAGAAGTCGCTGTCGGCTCGCGAGAAGGCGGTGTCGATGTTGCACCCGCCCATCTCGGTCGGCAGCTGTGCCTGGAGCCACGCGAGGTCGCGGAGCGCTTGGGGCGAGGCGTCGGCGCGAGCAATGCTCTCAAAGGACTTGCGGATGCGGTTGTGCGCAAACTCGAGAGCCTCGCACGCGACATTGGGCGGCGTGATGCCGGCAATGTACTTGGTCTTTGCGCAGGCAAAGTTGTGTTTTGTGATCCGTGAATCGTGTCGTGCGACCGCCATTTGTTGTAAAATTCTTGTTGCAAAAGAATTCTGAGGATCACCGAGGATCTGAGTCATGTGTGTATATCCTCCCATCCCTCGTTGGCGGTCTGTTTTTTCTTTCTTTCTTTTTCATGTGTGTGTGTGTATATGCTGCGACGTGTCGGAATCGCCGCCTCGGTCGCCGCGGCCGGCGCCGCCACGCTCCAGAGACGCGCGGCTGAGTCGCACGCCGCGGCGCCGGCGCCCGAGTCGCTCGCTGCTCAGCGACCGCCCTCCGTTGTACGAGTGGCGCCACTCGACGACCCGCCCGATGTAACGCTCGAATACTTTGCGCTCCGCGGCCTCGGCGAGCTGCCGCGGCTCATCCTCGAGCTGACGGGTATCCCGTACGACAGCGTGTACCACTTCGGCACGGGCGTGTACAAGCCGTACGCGCCATTCGGCCAGTTACCGGTGCTTCGCGATGGGCCGCTGCTCATCTGCGAGAGCGGCGCCATCGCGCGGCACCTCGCGAGGAAGGCGTGCATCGACGGCGGCGACGCGGCGGACAAGGCGCGCGTCGACATGTTCTTCGAGCTCGCCAAGGACCTGACGTCCATAAAGTCAGGCATCCACGACCCCGCGTCGGCGGACGGGAAGCGGCTCGCGGCGATGCTGGCCACCGCCGAGGCGAACTGCGGCGGGGCGCACTTTGTCGGCAGCTCGACCACCCTCGCCGACGTCGCCCTCTTCCACGCGCTGCACACCTTTGACGAGGCGCGGCGGCGCCGCACCCGCAGGCCGCCACCGTGGGCCCCTGGACAAAGGTGTTGCCCGCCCACCCCGCCGGCAGGTGGCGCCCGGCTCGCTCGAGCCGTACCCCAAGCTCAAGGCATTCGTCAAGAAGTTTGCCGCGCAGCCAGCCATCGCCGAGTACCTGCACAGCGACCGGCGCGTGCCGCTGACGGCCAACGAAGACGGCAAGCAGCCGCACTCTGGGCTGCCGGGCTACAAGTTCAAGGAGCCGCTGCGGCCGGGCACGTACGCGACGCCCTGGTCTCCGCCCGGCGCGTGAGAGGAGAGCCGCTCTCCTTGCTACGCCGCTGGCACATGCCCACAATGAGAATGGTTTTAGCCTCGAGTACGTAAGGGGCCCTAAAAGGCAAAGTCGGGTGGGGGGTCGCGGTCGGGCTGGCGGCTGGCGCGGCGCGCGGCGCGCGGGAAAGCGCCCCCCTGAGCCCTGGCTGTCAGGCTGTCAGGTGCTGTCAGGTGATCTGTCGGGCTGTCGGGCACTGTCAGGCACTGTCAGGTGCCTCTGTCAGACCAAGCTGTCAGGTGTGCTGTCAGTGCTGTCAGGTGCTGTCGGGTGCGTGTCTGACAGGCGAGGTGATCTGTAGCTGTCGGGTGCTGTCGGAGCTGTCGGGTGTTGCTGTCAGACGCTGTCGGAGCTGTCAGAGCTGTCAGGCTGCTGCTGCTGTCAGACGTTGGGCTGTTGCTGTCAGGTGCTGTCACAGGTGGTGCTGTCGGGGTGCTGTCAGGCTCTGACACACATCAGCCACACTTATGACACTATCAAGAGGGCGCTGACTATCAAGGGGGTGCTGACGCCGATGACGCCGGCGGCTACGCAGCTACCCCCCCCTCCTACACTGCGTGATCACGCCGGCGGCGGCGGCCGCCTGGGGAGCGCAGATGGCGCGGCGCAGAGCCAGAGGCACAGGCGGCGGCGGCGGCACAGACGGCGGCGGCCACCCCCACCCAGACGCCGTAGGCATATGACTGTAGGGCCCCAGAAGGCTAGCTGGTAGCTTCATTTGTAGTAGCACAGCCGCCGGTGCTGGAGAGGGGTCCGCAGAGGTGGGGCGGGAGGGTTGAAAGAGAGACCCATGACCATCCCATGACTACATGGACCACACTCACATGTCTTTGCATGTAATTTTGTTATACCCTCATGGGGCACAAGAAAGAGGCTCTACGGGGTCTGTGTACGGTCTGTGCTGCTGTCAGGCTGTCAGCGCTGCTGTCAGGCCACTGTGTGCTGCGTCCGAAAGAAGGAACGAAGTTCTGTCGTGTCGACCAGGTATGGGAGGTAGTTCATCTCTTGCACCCATGCCCACAGCACAGGTGCCACATTTATGGGAGGGAAGGGATCGTCTCGACTCGGGGACAGCCGCTTCCGCAAAAAGATGGAGCCATACCCCCAGCCCGTCACCCTTTTCATCCAGTCCCGGATCGGCGAAATAGTGCAGCCGTTGCTGACCCCCGTGGCCTCCAACACGTATGTCGCGTCCTCAGGGCAGTCCATGGCGGCCATGGCTGCAGCGAGCTTCGCTGCCTCCTTGGGCTTGCCAGCGCAGCAAGCGTACGCGGCAAGGCACTCCCGAGGCACGCCTCGCAGCACAACCGCCACATGCTGCGGGCACTCGTCAAGGAGCAGGCCCGATGGGCCTGCCCCAGCTTTGCAGACGCGCTCCCAAAAGTTGCCGTCGGAAGGGTCAGACGTAAAGATGAGTACGTCCCCGGTCCGGGCAGCCTCCGCCGCCTCTTCGAATGTGATGGATGCCGCCACGAGAGGGCCCCGTCGCTTGCGGCAAGTCCGGCACGCACCCGCACAGGCCGCAACGAAAACTGCAACACAGAATGCGACGAAGGTCTCTCCCGCTGCAAGAGCGACGCGCAACGCCTCGACGCACATTTAACCTCGCTCGAAGCAGCGGAAGCACCTGGCTGCCCGGCGTTTTAGCGGAAGCACCGGCTGCAGAGCGTTTTCGACCGACGACGGTCGCTAAAGCTTGCCGGCAAATGCCGCGCTGATCGCCCCGTGGCGACCGCCTTTGACTATATATTGTGGTGAATTTTTCCTCGATTTCTTTTGTTTAAATTCTTTCTTTTCGAGCCACAGCGTGAATTCTTGACTTGGGCCCTCGGGGAGTCTGGAAATAGTGCCACCGTTTCAGAGACTCAACAGAGAGATATAGCCGTATCTGCTTTGTGCCACACACCAAATGGATGGATGACGTTCTGCTTACGCGGTTACGGGGACGTATGTGCGCCGGGGCAGCTTGGCCTGCAAAGTCCAAAGAAACAAACCCGCGTGCCGAGAATCGCACCCACTGACCTCAATCCGCCCCATCGGGCTGTAGCACGGCCAATCGGCGGCGCAGCTCCTCGTAGGTGGCCGCGTCGTCGCTCGGCGGCACCATGAGGTGCGCGTGCTGCCCGTCCGGCTCGAACTTGGACGCCATCTTGTCGTACATCGGTATGAGGTTGGCGGCGACGTGCTTCATGAACCAGTCGATGGCGCGCGGCGGGAGGAGCTTCAGCTTCGGGTCGAGCTGCATGGTGGAGGACACGCGCGTCTCGTTCGGCGAGAGCACCTAGACGGTGGGTGTGGTGGGCAGCCTGAGGGAGGGGGCGCGTGGGGGAGAGGGGGCGGGAGGAGGAGGGGGGGGGGGGGGGGACTGAGAGAGCGCCTCAAACAGGAATCCGCCCGTGATGTCGATCGCCACCGAGCTGTCGGAGGTCAGCGCCGCCGCAGCGACTCGGGCGGGCTCGTCGGGCAGGCTGGACGGGTCGATGGAGCGGATGTAGCACATGACCGAGGTGGCGGAGAGGATGTCGCCGTATCCGGTGAGGACCGCGTGCCGCGGCGCGAGGAAGGGGATCGGCACAGTCAGCGCCTTGATGTGGACGAAGCGCCGAAAGTTGGACGCGCGGCAGACCTGCAGCGCGGCCTTGATGCCGGGGATCCACGAGCCGTACAGCTCGGGCTGCAGCAGCGGCGCGAGCACGCACTCGATGCTGCGCGGGACGACGCCGACCACCTTCACCGCCATCCTGCCCCCGGGCAGCTCCTGCACGTACGTGTCCAGGTCGTACTGCTTGCAGCTCGACCGTGCGGAGCCGCCGCTCGGCCGCGAAGCCCGGTGCGCAACCCGCCTCCACTCGTCCGAAGCGATCATGTTCAGCTGGCTCTCGAGCTCCGCCTGCGGACGGGGCGGCAGGCGGGCTCGGAGATCCCGGAAGGTGGGGCGGGCTTGGCGGCGGCGCGTCTGCGGCGAGCGGATGAGCGGGCGTGCGGGCGGGCGGGTGGCGGGCGGCGGAGGAGGCGGAGGAGGAGGCGGCGGCGGGCGGCGGGCGGCGGGCGGGCGGGCGGGCGGGCGGGCGGGCGGGCGGGCGGCGGTTGCGGTTGCGGTTGCGGTTGCGGCTGAGGGTGAGGGTGAGAGGTGAGGGTGGTGGACGGGTGGCCTCGGTGCGCAGAATGGTCGAGACGCGAATGTCGTCCCTCTCCCTGAGCGGCGGCTGAAGCCCCGCCTGGGAGGCGAGAGCCTCGAGGGCGAGCAGCCGCCGCATGGCGAGCAGGAACTGGTCCGCGCGGTAGAGCGCCTCGCACTCGCACAGCAGCCGCTCGATCTCCGCCTGCGAGACACGGCGCGGGCGTGGCACGGAGGTGGCACGGGCATGGCGCGGCAGAGGAGCGGCTCGAGCATCCTCGCCTCGTCCAGCGCCGCCGCGGCCGGAAGCAACAGCGCCGCCGCCCCGGCCGCTGTCCCGTCGATGCGTCCCGCGCACACCTCCTCCACATACGCTTGCCTTGGCGTCTTGAGCGAGGCGTGCTCGGGCGGTCGCTCGTGCAGCGCCGAGGCTGCAGCGGTCTCGGAGGGGGCCGACGTGGCGGGAGGCTCCTTCTCCTCTTCATCAAACACAACCTGCACCTCCGCTACTTCCGCTTCGGCCGCCTTCACCTCTGCCTCCGCCTCCACCTCCGCTGCTTCCACCTCCGCCTCCACCACCTCCACCACCTCCACCTGCATAGGGACGGCCCTCTGATGCACGAGGTCCGTGTCGGCAGCGGCGGTGGTCCACTCTGGGACACTGCGCCGCTCGTCCTGCTGAATTGTGGTGGCGGCAGCCCAGTTCGGCGGCTGGCGCGGCGGATCCTCCAAAGACACCTGGTGCGGGCGGAGGCGTGCAGTCAAGAGGGCCGACGCAGCGCTGCGCGGGCAGGCTGCAGCCCTGGCCCCTCGCTCGACCGCGTCTTGGCGCAGGCGGCCCACGGCGCGCGCGCGTGCGTGCGTGCGGGCGGTGTGGCACACACATCCTCTGCCCCCGAGAACCACACAGGCGGCTGCACTCTCGGGTCGCCCGCCGCCGGCTCCGTCGGAAGCTTCGGCTGCTCGAGTGGCGCATCGTCCTCGCCGAGGCCACTGCCGGTGCCGCTGGTGCTGACGACCTCTCTCGCTCCCACTCGAGGCGGTCCTGGCACCTTTGCCGTTGCCTGGACGGCTGCTGTGCCCTGATCGCACGCCTCTGCTCCTGAGTCGGGCGGCGCTGCCTTCTTGCGGCGGCGGCGCAGACCGATGAAAGCCGTAAACGTGTTCACCTTGCGGCGAATTATCCGACCCATGCCTGTCAGTGGGACGTACGCCGCGCAAGTCGTACTGCTCGAGCGCGGCTCACGGCGAGCAAATGCGGCTGGCGATGCAGCCAAACACGGACAGAGTCCGGTTTACGTAGAAAAGAAATAGGAACGTGCTCAACACGGCAGCTTAAAATCCCTGTGTGGTGGCGGCGTGCCGTCCTCCCATCCCTCCCTTTGGTTGACCGTTCTTTTCTTTACGGCAGGCAGCGGCGCCGTCGAGGGGAGAGCGACGCGACAGAGGCTGTACCGTGTTTGTTATGACCCCCCCCCAATGAACACACCAGAGAGAGATTTTTAGCAATACCAGCCAGTGAGGGAGGGCGAGACGATCGAGGGGTCCCGTACCACGCGGAATCGACCCTATCCAGTGCTCAAGTGCTCAAGAGAAGTGCGACAAGTAGAGAGAGAACGACGAGAGTGGGACGACCGCGAGCTGACCGCGAGGTGGCATGAAGGTTGCAGCGAGAATCGGCGAGGGGCTGCGAAGAGAGATAGGAAGAGGCAGACTCCCAAGGGTGGGCGACGGCTAGCGCATCACACTCCTCTCCTCTTAAAACCTCCCTGTGTGTGGTGGCGGGGCGTGCGCCGTGCCGTCCTCCCATCCCTCCATTGGGTTGTCTGTCTTCTTTCTTTCTTTTACGGCACTGGCGCGCATCGGAGTCAGGTCGTCTTCTGGTTAAAAAAAGAGGAGTAGTATAGCGTCCTGTCATCGCTCACACTCACCGCTTTAGTCCCGCGTGTCTCAAATACTCTTGGAAGCCGATCTCGCCATGCAGCTCCACCTCGGTCCCGTCCGTTAGCTCGAGCTTGCGACCTACACTTGTTGCAGCACACGTGAAGTGAGAGGCCGTTCACAACACCCTCTGCGCGACAGCGGTTCGAACTCGGGACCCTCAACGCGGTACTTGTACTGATTGGAAGGGCGATACATAATCTCCGATCCCTGGTTGAACTCGGAGGCAACGACGTCGTCCCAGTACTCCTATTGCAGCCGCACCACGCCTCTCACTCGTCTCGCAGGGAGCAAGGGCGCCGAAACAGGCGTGCTCCTGGAAAGCGGCTTTTGCGTCCGCCACGCCAAGCTGCGCCAGCATGCCGGCTAGCGCACTGCCTGCGAGCAAGCCGCGGCCCCCGCTCTGTCCCCTCCAGTAGTCTGTGCAGCCAGCGGCGTCGCCGAGGAAGAAGACGGGGACTGGCCGCCCGCCGTCGCTCGCGCACTCGGCGTCCTGTGTGGTGCTCGTCCAATACCACTCCGACCGTTGAGCGTAGTAGACAGCGACGGAGGAGTGGTCCGGGAGCGGCACCTCTAGCGCCTTGAGCTCCGCCAGGAGCGTGGCCCTGTACGCGAGAAACCACTCGGCCGCCTCTCCCTCGAGGCCCCCGCCCCCCGCCAGCGTGACGGGCTCGCGGGCAGTGCTGAAGCCGGCTGTCTTTTTGAAACCGTCGGGCATGGACGCAAAGACTGGCGTCAGCGGCGTCTCCGGGCCGAGCGGGGAGCGCGGGAAGGAGTAGATCTGAGCGTTGCGGTGCAAGTTGTTCGAGGCCACGTACGAGACGCCCCGCTTATCCAACGCGGCGCCGTTCATCGGTTTGCCTCCTCGCAAGTAGTTTTCATGTCCCTCGTGCCGAAAGGTGAGGTAGACCCCATCGCCCTGAGGCGTGTACGGCCGCCCCTCTGGCCCGGCCTCAACCTCGGGCAGGTCTGCTCTGTACTTGAAGGCGGTGGAGCCACCGCCAGTGCACAGCACCGCTGCCAGGTCGGCCACGCTCGTGATCCCGAGCCTAGGGCATGTCGCAAACCCGTTTCAGCTGTAGCTAGGGTCCGTAAGTGGTGCATCTAGGGTTGCAAACCCCTCGGGATGCTCCCCCTGCGCCGCTGCCAGCGCCTCTTGCAAGTGGCACCCGCCGATGTTGCTCGGAGAGCCGTCGGCGCAGCCCTGCACCTGCGCATTCACGTAGAAGATGCGGCCGCTAAACACGTCGCTTTCGAGGTAGCGACGCATAGACTCGCAGAAGGCGCCCGTGCAAAGCCAAGGCGTGTGGCGCACGTTGGGGAACGGGAGCACGTCGGCGGCCGCCTGAGGCGCGAGGATAGTGAGGATTTGAAGGTTGTCTGCCGCCACCGCGCATTGTGGAGCAAGTATTACGGCTGTTGCTGCTGCGCCTGGCGCCCGAGCAGGACTTGTTGTGCCGGAGCGTCCATCATGTCGTCGCGCACCGGAGGCGGCAGGTCGGCCATGAAGGAGAATGGTGGGACAAGTACTTGCGGCCGGAATGCGCTTCGGTGGTCAAATATGATGGCCTGTGGGAGACGTTGACGCATCAGATCTGTGAGTGGTTGCAGAGGGTCGGTGTGCGCAAGAGAGACGACTGTGCGTGTGCGTGTGATCCCGTGCTGAGCTCACTGTGGCAGACGGCTGCGAGGTGAGTAGCTTGTAGGTTGACCACAGACCAACTGGGCCGGCGCCAACGACCATGTAGAGGCGCCGGCCGGCTGAGGCGGTCATCATAAGAACGACCGACCAATGCGACGACGTCCGTACCGTTCATGTTCATACTTGATACTTCGGCGTTGTGACACCTTCTGGATCTGAGCCTGATCTCGTCCCTCCCTGTCAGATCTGTCACGGCGAATTTACCCGGCACGAGGCTGATCTGGGCGAGGGGCGTGTCGCGCTCGAGGGTTTGTTCCTCACGTCAGTAGACAGCTTTGGCTTCGACGCACCGACGGGGGCGCCTCCAAGCTCCATCGATCTGCCCACCCCCAGTGAGTCAGCGACAGGCGAACGAATCATGTGCGGCAGGAGCGATGCGTGTATCGACCGCCGTTTCTGTGAAGGGTTTCCTTGTACCGCCGAGAAACTCCTCTTCTAGCTAGACAGTCGACTAGACTGGAACTCGTGTTGATCTCTACGCGACGATCGGAGTCCCAAGAGCCCAGAGTCGCCAGACCACGCCCCGAAACACTCAATCAACACCAGTGTACCCGACGTGTTGGCGGACACGTCGCTACTCAAAGATACGAATCGCGCTCGTGCACGGCTTGCGGCAGAGCGGGCACGCATCGAGCTGCCGGGCGCACCCCGCGCACAAGCAACGGTGGCCGCAAGGGACCTAGGGTCACGCCACGGATGCGTCATGGTCTGTCATGGTGTGTCACGGACAAGACAGCCCGCGGCGGCCGCACGCCAGCGCGTGCGTCGGCGCTGCGTCGAGACAGACCACGCAAGTCGGCGCCCTAGGCTGTGCCGGCACGCTGCTCGCATCCTCGGCAGCGGGGCGGAGAGCGGAGTGCGTGCCTATCGGAGGCGCGGTGGCAAGTCCGCGGCGGCATCTCGAGCAGAGCGCGCGGTGGCCGATGTCTCACCGGCAAGGGGCTCGGCGCGGGGCGCGTGGACGCAGAGCGCCGCCCTCAGCGCGGCGATGAGACCCGCGAGCGACCTGAATCCCGCACGGCGGATGCGCTCCAACAGACGCAGCGCCGCCCTCACCGGGTGCCTTGGCCGCGGCGACGGCGGCGGCGGCGGCAGCTCCGCAGTGCGAGCGGTGGCCGCTCGCCTCACCACCTCCTCTGCGGCTGCCTCCTCCATTTGCCGCCAAGTACCGCGCCGCCCGGGCCGCTGCCGTTGAAGCGGCGGAGCGGGTGGGCCGCTGCCACGAGCGACGGCGCTGATGGCCTGAGCGGTTGGGCAAGAGGTGAGGGCCCGTTCCTGTTCGGTGGGAAAATCTTCATTTTGCGGAGGGCAAGAGGAGAAAAAAGGATCGGAGAGGCGTGTGGATGCTGGCAGCGCGGACCGTCACCCAGCGCTGGGCCTCGGAGGGCGACTCTGCGATGAGGCGCAGCTGCCGCTCCGGTGTGTGCACGACAAAGGAGCGGGACCCGCTCACGTCCGTCTCCACGCGGCAGTCGGCGCCAATGTTGACAAAGCCGCGCACCTTGTGCGAGCAGACGGCGTGTGTGTGCGAGCGTCGGCGTGAAGCTGCAGCTGTGTGGGTGAGTCGGGTGTGTGCAGCAGGCCGCGTGAGGCTGCGGACCTTGCCAACTCGGCAGTCGGCCTCCGACCTGAAGTAGAGCAGCGTCGCACTGGGCTGGGGCGTGAGGAAGAAGTAACGCTTCGCGGACGAAGGCGTGAAGGCGTGCGACTTGGCGTGGACCTTCTCGAGGTGGCCTTGCATGGCGGCAGCACAAGAAGGAGTTTTGATGATGCGAGAGAGGACGCATCCAACAGTCGGGAAGGTTTTTTTCTTTTTTACTGGGTATTATTATTAGACGGAAAAGGTTTTTATATTCTCGTCTTTCTTGGCCTCCGCCACCACCGATCTATCCTTCGCGCCTCCGTCCAGTTGCCGAGGGCGACCGACGCAAACTGTCCGCATGAGCGGTACCTCTCAGCCGCTTCCGTCACCGACGGGAGCGGAGTGCTGCACTCCGTCGGGCCACCCGCCATCCTGCGGCTCAACACTGCGGCCGGAGCGGTTCGTCACGGTGCCACACTCGCCGCCGTTCACCTGCTACGTGGCGCAGCCTCCGGGAGGAGCGCCGGCGCGAGGTGTCATCCTAGTGGTGCACGACATTTTCGGGCCGAGGTCGGGCCGGCACGCTCGCATCTGCGACGAGCTCGCGGCCGCCGGCTTTGTCGCCGCTTGCCCCGACCTGATCGGCGACGCCGACGAGCGCGCGAGTGCCCTCAACCCCGGCTGGCCGTCGTCAAAGGCGCACGAGGTCGGGATCGTCTGTCACCTCGTGTACCGGATCCGGTGGATGCTCAAGGCGGCCGCCGCAGGCAAGCGCATGGACGAGATCGGGCGCAAGCTTGCCGCCACTCTCCACTACTGCAGAGGCGCGCACCCGCACGCCATCGCGGCCTGCGGCGCCGTCGGCTTTTGCTGGGGCGGCGGCGTCGTCGCCCGCTTGCTCTCAGAGGCGGGGGCGGAGAGGCTGCCCGTGCCCCTCGTCGGGGGCGTCGGCTTCCACCCATCGCACCGCGGGTGGGAGGCGGCCGATGTGGCGCGGCCACTGCTGCTCGCGCCCGCAGGCGACCCCCACCCGATCCCGAGGCGCAGCGCAACCTTCTGTGACCCGTCTCACCTGGCGCGAGCAGGCGACGACCCCGCCGCGGTGCAGCCCGGCGGCGCCCTCGCGCAGCCGCTCGCCGACCGCTTTGGCGGCGCGTGCGCGGCGGTGCGTCTATTTAGAGGTGCTACACGGGCGGGTGGCCTGCGGCGACACGGCTCGCGGTGTGAAAACAGGTGCCCTTCCCTGAGATGCTGCACGGGTGGATGACGCGGGGGCCGTTGGCCGACGCCGCCATCGAGAGGGACTACCAGCGAGGCATGCGGCTGGCGGTCGAGTGGCTGGGGGAGAGGATGAAGGCTTGAGTAGGGCGCGGCCGCACGCGGTACTCGCTACTCACTGCGTAGCGTGAGAGGGGAACTCTTCACACTTTTTCAGACTTCACTTCACGTGTGCGCGGGCGTCTCGAAGGCGTCGTCGCTGCGGACGGCCTGGCAAGCGCGCACTCGCCTGTCCTCCGCGGCCATGCCCTCCCCGCCCGGGCGAGCGAGCAGCGCAAGGGCGGAGTCAGGAGCACTTGGAGCACTTGGAGTGCAGTCATTAGCCTCACATCCAGGGCCGGGGAGCTAAGAAGCGCACCCAGCGAGCCGGATGATCGGGATCGGGTTAGGGGCTAGAGAGCCCTAGCCCAGAGGTGGGGGTGCGCGTTCGCAGGGAAAGGGCCGTAAAGTAAACACGGTCTCCGAGGGTTGGACCCGCGTACCAGGTTTCCCCTTAACTGCAGGACGCCCCCTCTACTCGGAGCTAGTGGACATTACACTGTACACTATGCCCAAACACAGACACTTGCTTAAAGCCCGTAGCTCTGGGCCGGCGCGGGGGCCCCAGAGGGTGTCCATGCGGGGGGGAGATGGGGTCCCATGGCCCGCCGCAGGCGCCGATTTTTTCTAGATTTTTTCTTTTTTGGCGATTTTTTACTTGTTTTCATGGGAATTCGGCGTACTTGCGGCCATGCTATCACGCCTTGCGACAGCCTGTCGGCGCAGCTGACCGTGCCATGATGCACAATTGATCACCTGCATAGCTCGCGGCCTTAGTATCAAGCATTCAGTGACGACCTGATCGTACGGCCAGTAGGAAGGTGTCCTTCCAGCGCGTGCACGCTTGTGGCGCAATGCGCGTCATGAACTGCCTCGGATTGGCTGCTGGCACTCTCGAGGCTATGCCTACACAGCCTCGCGCGCATGGGCAGTCAGGAGGGACCACGCACCTTCTCAGGACAGCGCCGGTGCCTCTCTCTTGGACCGGCAAACTTGGTGGTATCGTGTCACCAATCGGATCGCGTTTTGTCGGTGTCTCACCCTGTCCTCTGCCGGCACGAATCTCTCCGGGCTGCTCCGAGCCCTTCCTGGCATGATCCGCGTCGGAGGAGGCCGATCCACTGCCGCAGCCCCGGCTCGGGACTGTTCGCCTGTTGTGACGGTTCCCCCCCCCCTCGCCACCTGCATGTTCTCTTGCCGCCTCTTCTCATGGATCACAGGGGCCGCACAGCCGAAGCACACAAACACCCCACGTCCCTGCATGGCGTGGCAGAGGCGCGCCTTCATCCACTCTTCCGCCTCCCCCCCCACACGCGCCGATATCCGTTCAAGGATGGCACTAACCACCCCCTCAGCCACTCGCGCCGCCGCCGGCCCGTCTTCCGGTTTCACGTGGAACAGTGTGCGGAAGTTACAGCTTGTGTTTGTTCACACCCATGGCCGGCGGCCAGCGTGGGGAAGCGCTCCGTCCCGAGCGACTCGAGAGGGATCCCCACCGCTTGCCAGTGATGTGTCAGCGCTCCCGCCATTTCTGTTTCCCGGAAAATTCTCTTTGTGCTCGGCGTCTCAGAAAGGCGGCGTCTCATCATCAGCAAAAAAGCGAGCAGGTCCGAATTTCCTCACGCCTCTTTCTGCTCCTCGTTTGCCTGTGTGTATGGCGACCGCCCGCCTGCTGCGCTCGTGCGTTGAGACCCTCGTGGGCTTTGTGCTCGCGCCAGCCTTCAAATTGATTATGCTTCCAGTATTCGTTCTCGTATTCTCGCCGAGTATTGCGCTCGGCCTCTGCAGCTCCGACGCTGCTGTCGGCGTGCCTCCCGCCTGTCTCGCCTGGCGTCGCCTTCCATATCTGATTCCGATGATGCCCTTTGTCGACCTGCCGATTGCCGCCTTATTGATGGCGACATGGCTGATCGAGGTTCTGTTCCTCCGGAACCCCCTCATCCTCGCCGTCTACAGCCTCTGCCGACGCGCCTCACTCCCCAACCGCGAGCCGACGATCCCCGACGCCGAGGCCGGTCTTCACGCTCGCGAGCGGCCGCGCTCGAACACCAATGACGCCGCCCGCTATCGCGAGCACGCCTCCATCTGGGCTGCCCTCGAGGGCGACGGCGACAAGGTCCGGCCGGGAGATGTGCGGCTGATCAGTCTGAACTGGCTCATGGCGCTGGCAGAGCAGGGCGGCGTGCTCCCGCGGCGGCAGGACCTGCCAGAGGAGGCCTTCTTAAGCTCTGCTCAGCTGAGGCGGATCGAGCAAGGCGCCAGGCGCGGCTTTGACTCCGTCGGCTTTGAGGAGGCCTTGGCGCGCGTCAACAAGGAGCCCTCCCCCTCATCCTTTCTCGGCTGGTTCGCGAGCTTTTTCGGCCGCACGCGCAACCCCGACGGGCTGCTTCCGATCATCTCCGTCTCCTACTGCTGGCTCGAGGCGGCGCATCCGGATCGAGAGGGCCGCCAGCTCCAGCTGCTCTGCCGCAAGCTGCGGGACCTCTATGGCGGGCGCGGCCTGCTCGGCGCGTGCCGCGAGTACGGCTTCTCGGACATGGTGAGCTGCCTCGCCCGCCTTGCCCACCGCCGCTCCCTTCCTCACCGCCACTCCCTCCCTGGCTCGCGCAGGGGGTGTTTCTGGACTGGAGCTCGGGCTACCAGAAGGACCCGGCGCTATTTGCCGAGCGGCGCGCGTATGAGGCGAGCCGGTCGGGCGAGCGGAAGGCCGCCTTCGGCCGCATGCTGGAGAACACGATGGTGAGCGCATGCCAGCCCCTCCCCCTGATAGCGCCACAGCATGCACCGCTCTCACGGCACGTTGGTTTTACATTCCGCATTAGGACCTCTGGTACGCGCACGCCTCGGTCACTGTCGTGCTGCTCACGCAGCTGCCCGACGAGCTGCCCGCCGGTTTTGACCGGAGCCGGACCTACGACACTCGCGGCTGGACGGCATTCGAGCGGTGCTCGGCAGAGCTGGGCGCAAAGTCCGCCTATATGGGCTTTGCCAAGTGGAAGCTCGTCATCGACGCCGCCAGCGGCGACGGCGGCGCTCAGCGGCGGCTCCCCGCGACTCCGGAGCGCATGGCGACGCTGCTCGCCGCTTGTCGCTTCACCAACGGCGCGGACTCGGCGACCGTGCTGGCGCTCTACGAAAAGACGGCGAAGGCCGTGCTGGGCACGGTCGAGAAGCTCGACTACACGGGTCTGCCGCTCGTGTGTGGCGATGCGTGGACTAGCCCGGCGCTGCTGGCGGAGGCGCTAAACCATTGCGAGAGCCTCCGGACCCTCTACCTAGTTGGGACACGCCTCGACGACGAGGGCGTGGCGGAGCTCGCGGCGGGGCTCGAGGACGGCGCGCTCCCGGCGCTTGAGTACCTCTACCTTCTGGCAAACCGCTTCGGCGCGCGCGGGGGCGTCGGCGCGCTCTGCGGCGTGTTCCATCGCGGCGTGGCGCCGATGTTGCAGATACTCGACGTCGGTCTCACGCCTATTGGCGACGAGGGAGCCGTGGCGCTAGCTGCAGCGCTGCCGATGGGCAAGCCGTCGCATGGACTGACCTTGTGGTGGTGCGATGTGGGCGACGAGGGCGCGATGGCACTCGCGGCTGCCCTCCCGGCCGCGGGTCAGAGGTGTCGCGTGCAGGTCATGTTCAATCGGATCGGTCTCGCGGGCCAGGCGGCACTACTGGAGGCGCTCGAGGCGAAGCACGGGCCGCAGATGGGGAATGCGCTGGCGGTGGCGCAGTTGAACTTGCTTCCCTGGTCGTACCCGCTCATGCGCGCTTTGGGGCGAGGCTGGCGCCGTGTGCTCGAGAGCAGCCGAATCACCATGTAAGGCACACCTTTCAAGCGGCGAGGGGACGCCTAAAATTCTTTTCCGTCCGTAGTGTACCTGTGTTAGTGCCAGTGCGCGCCAGTCCTGCCCAGTGTTGTGCGAGCGAGTTCTCGTAAAATTCTTTTTCTGAGGACGAGGAAGACCGAGAGGCACCAGCCACAGGCTGTACGTGGGAGACGGAGAGCGAGCGAGACCCCGCGCAGGCGCTCAGCGCTTGGGCTTTGGAGGCGACCGGCTAGCCTCTCACCGTCTTCTCGGCGGCAGGCGCGCGTCTTGCACCGCATCGAAGGTCATCCTCGTCCACGCCTTCTTCACCAGCAGCGGCGTCGAGCGCGAGAAGGGAACTGCCAGCGGAGTGTAGGCGAAGGTCGGCGTCGCTGTGAGTTGCACCGGCCCGTCGCGGCGCAGCACGTGCAAGTTCTCCGGCTCGAGCAGGCAGTTGCACGGCCCCCAGGATTCTTTTTGCAGTCCGAGCCAGTCTGCTGTGAGAGGGGCTTCTATGGTAGAATTCTTTTTGCAGCGCGGCCCTCGCTTGCAGGCTTCCGTCGCCTCCGTCGTTCGCTGGCATCGCTGAAAGGCCAGCCCGGTGCGGATGCTGCGCAGTCTCGCGCGGCCCGCCGCCGCCAGCTCCTCCACCTTTGCGGCGCGGCGGCCGTGGGCGCTTGCGGCGCGCCGGCTGTTCATCCAGATTGGGGTTGAACGCCCCAGCCAGCTGCCGTTCAAACGAGCGCATCTCCGCGGAGTCCACCGCTTGCCACAGGAGTGGGTACGTCTTGTTGCCGACCTCGGCGGTGACGGGAACGTCGTCGTTGAAGCGGGCGAGGTGCGTCGTCGAGAGGCCGCTGTCGCGTAGTCTGCCCGCCACGTCGCCGGCGCCGGCGACGCTGTGAAGTCGACGACAGTGGGGCCGGCCGAGGTGACGATGACGACGACCGCGCTCTCGCTCACACCGAGCGACGTCCCGCCGAAAGGCGGCGTCAAACGCGCCGCGCGAGGCGGCGACGGACTCGTGGGCGAGGCTCAGTGTCACGGTCGCCTCGTTCGCCGGCGCCGGGATCCTCGGTGCGGCTTCTCGGTCGCAGACCTTCTCCAGGTCGGGCATCAGGGCCTGGAACTGAGCGAAGGTGGCCGCGTGACTCCCGGTCGTGAGGCCGTGGCGCACCTTCCATAGCAGGAATTCCACTATTGGCTCGACTATGCCGCCGTCCGCAGTCGCCAGTTCCGGTAGGCTCTGCCGCCCCCACTCGAGCAGGCCGGCGATGGCGACGCACGCGTGGAATCGTGCCGGCCTTTCGTGGAATCGTGTCGGCCTTGCCCCGGCACCAACCTCGCCGATCCCCGCCGTCATAGGTCGGAGCACTGGCGCCAGCCCGAGAATGACGTCACGCACCAGCTCCTCAGCGCCCGTAGGGAGGTCCAGGGAGATCGCCTCCGCCGGCCTGGCGCTGAGCAGCAGGAGGGGCGCCTCGTTGGGCCATCGCCCGTCGTCTAGTTTGGCGAGGATCTGCTCCGACGAGGCCAGCGCCACCGCCCGTCGGAGGCTTCGTAGGATGGTCGCCGCGGCTCTCGCCGTGGGCACTAGTCGCAGCGCCCCTTCGTCGGTGAGCAGGCGGCGGTGGAGCTCGGCGATCGCCTCCACGATCGGGTCTTCGTCCTCGGCGAACCCCTCGATCGGGTCTTCGTCCTTGGCGAACTCCTCGAGCACCGCGAGCAGCCCCTCCTCGGTCAGCGCCTGCGCCCACTGAGCCGTTGTCTCCCACTCGCACGTGTAGCTGTGAGTCACGACTGGCTTGGTGACGGCGCCCACGTACGCAAAGAGGGCGCACGCCATGTCCTCGTTCGGCCCGAGGCCTGCCCCGCCGTGGCATAGCGAGTCCGCCTCGAAGACGAGGGCGTCGCCTGCTTCGAGCTCGAGAGGCTCCTGGTTGAGGACACGGAACCGCCGCCGGTTCAGTGCCACGATGATGGAGCAGACGTGTTTCTTGTTCGCGTCCCTGTGGTACGGCTGCGGCTGCGCCCCCGGGAGGGTCACGATGACGCTGAGCCCTCTGGTGCTGCGCGTCCTGGAGGTGGACGTGGGGTAGCACCTCCTTGACCAGCTCCTCCGCTTGTCTTGCGAGCTCCGCTGCACCGCGAGCACTTGGAGCACTTGGAGTGCAGTCATCAACCGCACATGCAAGATTCAGTGCGCGCCAGTCCCGTGCCCAGTGTTGTGCGAGGGAGTTTTGTTGTAAAATTCTGTAGCGAACGTGCTGCAGAACAAGCTGACGCGGGCTCAGTACCTCGATGAGGTGACTTGGACCACCAAGAGCTGGCTGGGGCTGCAGAAGCAGCGCATCTCACTCAGTCGTTCTTCACACGGCCATCGCAGAGCAGATTGTGAATGAGCTTGCCAACGGCGAGGGCGGTCGAGTGCACGGAGCTAAGTGCCTCGCCGTCCTCGCCGGAGTCGCTTAGGCGGCTCCAGTGGTGAACCGGTGTTTTTCACTAAATTCTTTCGCCCGACGTCCGGGACTCTCAAACGATGAGGGTGTACGACGAGAACGCCGCCCCGACCAACGTCGTCGCTGCCGAGGCCCCGGCCCCGGCGCGCAAGATCCGCCGCCGGCGCAAGAGCGGCGTCGGCAGCCTCAAGTTTGCCGGCGACGCCGACCCGGCTGACCGCGAGGCGTCGCTCACTGAGGAGCTTGAGGCGGCGCACGACGAGATCCGGCAGCTGCAGTTCAACTTGGCCAATGCGGAGGAGGACAACCTCACGCTGCTCCGCCTCAACTCCGAGCTCGAGGCGCAGCTCGCCGACGCTGGTAAGCTGGCCGCCGAGCAGCTCGAGCGAATCCTAGCGCTCGAGGCCGCCGAGAGGAGTGCGACTAGGGCCGAGCTCGCGCGGCAAGGGCGTGCGGCGGCGCTGCACGACTCACTGATTGACCTCGACGCCGTCGGCAGCGCCGCCGAGCAAGACACCACCGCGCAAGACGCCGCCGCGCAAGACGCCGCCGCGCCGCCACCGCCGCCAGCAGAAGCTCCGCCGCCGCCGCCGCCGGCTGCAGCCGCCGAGGCGCCCGAGGCGCCGCTCGCGACGTACGGTGGCGGCAGCTACGCGTCGGTGGTGACGCGCCTCTCCTCCACCTCGTCGGCGCGCTTCTCGAGCTCCTCGTACGTTTCCGCCGCCTCGCCGTCCCACCGCCTCTCCACCTCCTCCATCGCGTCGCGCCTCTCCACCTCGTCTGCCGGAGGCGGCGCGCCGCTCGCGCCGGCGCACGCCCTGCTCGCGCTGCCCGAGTGCGTCCACGAGGCGGTGGAATCGTCGCCGTCGCTCGCCGGGGCGAGTGACCCACACGAGGCACCCCGCCCCACCCCGCCCCACCCCGCCCCACCCCACCCCACTTGGCAAGCTCCTCCCCGGCCGCACACGCGCACCGCACACGCGCACCGCCTCCTGCGCACCCACGCCCGCCGCCTGCGCACCCGCGTCGGCCTCTGTGCGCTCTTGCCCGCGGGCACGGCGGCTCTCTGAGGCGCGTTCGGCCGCCTTCCTCCAGGTGGATCTCGCCGCCCTGCGGCAGCCAAACGACGCCTCCGCCAGAGCGGAGGGCGAGGAGGAGGAGGCGCCGGCACCGGAACTGGAGCGGGAGGAGGCGCCGTCGCCGCAAGAGCCGCCGCGGTCTGCCGCCGAGGGGGCGCCCGCGCTGCCGGAGGCGGACAGGTCGGAGGCCGTGCCAGCGCCGCGAGGGGAGGACGGGCCGGTGGAGCAAGAGGCGCCACCGGTGCCGGCGCAAGGGGCGGAGGAGGGGGCGGAGGAGGAGCAGGGCGCGGAGGAGGGGGCGGAGGAGGAGGCGCCGAGTGCTCACTCACAGGGCGGGCCGGCCGCCGTGCCGCACGGGGCGGCTGAGGACGCCGCTGAGATCGCCGCGCCGCCGGAGCCAGAGGCACCGCCGCCGCCCGAGTCTGGCGCGCCTCCTCCGCCTCCTCCGCCTCCTCCGCCTCCTCCGCCTCTTCCCGCGGAGGAGGAGGTGGCGAGGCCGCCTCCGCGGCGGAACGGCCGGCGCAAGTCGGTCACGAACGAGCTCGCCCGCCTCGGCGTGTCAGCGTCGGAGATCGACGTCGCCGCCGCCGCCGCTGCCGCACCCCGCTCGACACGGCGCAAGCCGCGCGGAGGAGGGGCCGCCAGCGCGGCGCCGCCCGCCGCCGCCGCCGCCGCCACGGCTGCGCCGCCCCCCCCTGCCGCCGCGGGCGGTGCGGCTGCGCCAGTCATGGCGCAGGCGGAGGCGGAGGCGGCTTGGCCGCCGCCAACCGAGGCCTCCGAGCTGGGCGAGGGGGTGCTGTCCGCGCCGCCGTCGCTCGTGGCCGTGCTGCTCGCTGTGGGGCCCGACGGCCACGTCAGCTGCTCCTTGCTCGGCCGGCAGGCGGCGCAGCAGGGCGAGATCGCTGCGCTCGAGGCGGCCACGCGGGCGCCCGCCGCACCTCTGCAGGAGAGCGCGCAGCCGTCCGCGCTCGAGGCGGCCCCGCCCCCACAAATCGTCGTGCCGGACACCGCGCCGCCGCCGCCCGCCGACCCGCCCCCCCCCGCCGACCCGCCGCCCCCCTCCGCCTCGCCGCCCTCCGCCTCGCCGCCCTCGCTCCTTCCGGAGGGCGCAGCCGAGCCAGCGAGTTTGGCGGAGGCGGCGGAGGCGCCATCCGTGTCGCCTGCTGGCACCGAGGCAGGGCCGGCCGTGGAGCGCGGCTCTGCCGGCCGGCCTCTCCCTGACGTCCAGCCATTGCCCTCTGCTGTCCCCGCGGCCGACGCGAGCGGCGCGACCGACGTGGCGTCCCTGCTCGACGCGGCTCTCTGCGCGGCACGCGGCGACGCCGGCGGTGCGGTGTGGGAGTGGGCAGGCGAGTTGACCTCTCAGCTCGGCGCCCTCAGCCGCGCCTCCGACGCCGCCGCGGGCGAGGGCACCGCGGGCGAGGGCACCGCGGGCGGCGCGGCGGCGGCGCACGACGGCGCCACGCCCCCGCAGCGCAAGAAGAAGAAGGGCGGGGCGCGGGTGCGCTTCTCGGCGTACGACCTCTCTGCCGTCTCGCCGCCGAAGCTGCAGCGGCCCGGCTCTGAGGCCGCCCTCGCGAACCATGAGCACGTGGAGCTGGAGAGCGTCGGGAAGGGTCAGCAGCATAATCGTCGGAGAGGCCGAGTGGGGTGGGGGAGGACACGTCGCGCGAAGGGCGGGCAAGTTGCCGCCGAGGAGCCCTGACCGCGTACACCGTCGAAAGTCTGTGCAGGTGTGAACAGCACCGACTGTTGTTCATCTTTCTACATACACTAGTGTGGGACCTGCGGCGGTACCCGTCTCTGTTGTTCGGGCAGTGAGAGACGCAGGATCTGCACGCCACAGAGCAAAGTGGGCCACTCCGCATTTGCATTTTGGTTTTGGGTTGTCGGAGATCATCCATCAGCTCTCATGTCTCATCAGTCAGTCACGT